TTGGGGAGCAGTGGAGGGCTGGCTGCCAGTGGCTTGCTGGCTCATATTTTGGGGCCACTGGATCAGGGGCAGTGACTGCTGACTCTGGGCTGGCAGGCTTGGAGCTGGCACAGGCACTGTGGTCAGAATCTACAGGGGAGGGTGGGAGGGAGAGGAGTGTTGTTGGTTGAGGCTGGAGTGGCCACCAGGGCACCCTGGGAAGGCTGGAGGCCCCCTATTTCAAACTGTCTCTACACAGCACTTATTTCGAAATAGCTATTTCGGATTTGACGTTATTCCTCGTAGAATGAGGTTTACCAAATTAGAAACCTCTATTTCAATTTGATTTCAAAATAGCAGTTGGCTCGTGTAGATGCCAGGAAAGTTATTTCAAAATAAGGGCTGTTATTTCAAAATAACTTTGCTGTGTAAACATACCCTTACAGAATTACTTTTGCACTGCAGGGGTGTACATAGGAATAAAAATGTGGTCACTTTTATGTGCCTCTTGCCCCACAGTTGGAGAAGTTCCCCATGGTCAGAGGAATCGGTTCTCCTTGGGGGTAGTGGACCTGTCACCTCCCACCTTGGCTCAGGAACAGCCGAACTTTCTCTCACCCTCTGCAGTTGGCAGAACTCTCCTGGTGTTGCCCCCAAAGAAGTCCTGTGCCACCACTAATGGGGTGGGGTCCATGCCACTGCTAGCTTACCTCTTACACTTCTTCTTTGGCATGGCATTTCTAGTGACTTGTATTGGATTAAGTGAAATCTCTAATTGCATATTTAACAAGCCAGTCATGTCTATCAAATATTTAAAATATTCGACAGGAGTACTAGGATATTTTTGGTGAATATACTTTGGCCGAATATTGAATCAGTAGTCAACCAAGCTTGTAACTTTAATGTAATATTTGACTCGTCCCTCCATCCAGTTTCTCAGTGAATACTGTCACTTCTGAAAAAAACTTCAAGCCCATAATGTTGACAATTTTCCAAAGCATCCATAGAGCTCATTGGGGAGAAAAAAGAACTTGTGAAAACTTTAGCTAATACAAATTTCCCTATAATTTGTTGGAAAACTTTTTTTCATCAAACTTTTCTGACCCGCTCTTTCTTACCTCTCTAAATTTGTTGTTTGCTCTCCAGTCTTACTGCTTAAAACCTTTTCTGTTGCTTGTCCATCTCTCATTTACGCTACAACAGTCTCTTCTGCTTTCTGACTTCACTACTTACAATCTATGCAAAATGTGTTCACAAAAATACTCTCCTAATGTTTGGATTATGTCATTTCTTTGTTTTCAAGCCTTCATTGGCCTGCGCTTTAAAGACTCTTCACAAGCCTTCTTTCTACAATATCTCTGCTTTCATGTCTTCCAACTTTCCTCTCTCTCCTTTAGTTTTCTTCTTCAACTATAGACGCCATTCAGGAAAGCATCCCTATTCAGGAGAGCATTTATGTAAATACTTACATGGGATTTAGCATCTTCATTAGGGCTTTCTTGAATCCTGTGTCTTCTTAAATGCTGTCCCAAGAACAGTCTTTTGCTTCTTGTGTATCAAATTATCCACAGGTTTATCCATTCAAATCTCAACAACACACTTTTTCCACAGAGCTTTTTAAGGATAGGATGCCATAGTTAGATTTTAAAATTATATTGTTTTAAAATATTTTAGAACAATCAAATGTAACTAATAAAGGACTGAAACAAAACATGTATATTTTCTGATTGCCACAAGTGATGTATACTCGCAGCTTCCTCTATTTCTGCTTTTCACTCCCACCTTTACCTGTTATCATCATTTTGTTCGTATTTTTATCTTAATTGGATTACAAGCACCTTGAGGGGAGGAATATCATCCTTCAGTTTGTCTGGAAAGTATTCTATGTACACATGGGGCAATCCAAATCAACAATACTAGTAATAAATTCTTAGTATTCTCCTGGAAATATACTAACGTAATGCTGTTATTTTGCCTCCAGCAACTGAATCATACACATGCTACTTCATGAATTAATGAACTGAATACATTTTCATTTTATAACATTCAAAGAAACAGGATTTTTAAATTTTATTTTAATGTTTTC